CTGCGCGGCGGCGGCTGCCTTGGACCTGTCGGGATTGCAGCACGCCGGGCTGGGAGAAGGCATGTGTCTCAGGCCAGCCCGGTCTCAGCAATGCCCAGGGGTGGCCTGCCCTGCTGCCCCCCAAAAAGGCCTTTTAGCATGTCCTGGGACCTTTGGGTCATCTCTCTGTGGGCAGCAGGTTGGACAAGGGTGAGGAGTGCTGGCAGGGAGGAGGGGGCTGGCCTGGGTGTCTGGCCGTGCTTCTCTTTGCCTTGGAGCGCTCTGCGATGTGGCGTTAGAGCAGGTTTCGTGTCGCAGGCCAGGGCTGCGCGGTGTGACGAGCCCTGGAGAGGAAGGATGCGGCTGTGAGTGTTGGTGTGTGCCCCGTGGGCCTGTGTGTGCTGAGCGGCACAGAGGGGTGGGCGGCAGGGGGGGCAGGAGGAAAGCCCTGTGGGGACTTGATGTTAGCCCGCAGGAAGGGGCTATGGAGGGTCCTTTGAAAGTGGGGCTGCTGATGTTGGGGTCCTTGGGTCCCCTTCTCCGAGCTGAGATGCTCTGATGGGCTGCAGCAGCGTGATTCACTGCCCAGGCCCAGAAATCCCCTGCCTGTGGCAGGGAGAGCTGTGCAGCAGGCGCTGAAGCACACTGCCAGCACACTCGGAGGAGCAGCAGTTAGATGGTGAATCCAAGCGATGGCCGCATTAAGCACTTTGCTTGCTTTATGGTAGCCTGCGTGTCCCTGCCTTCGGTGGTGCTGTCTGGAGGGGCTGCGGGTGCACGGCCACCCCGCACCCTTGCTCCCGGGGCGCGCAGACCTCACGTGGCATCGCTCTGGCCAGCGTGGATGGTGCATGGCTCTTGGTAAGCACCCGCGTGCCCAGGGCGCAGGGAAGGCTGAGCCAGGCTGGGAGCGGAGCTGGTTCCTGCCGCTTCCAACCATGGGGCAGCGCGCTCTGGAGCAGAGGGAAGATGTGAAATGCATGAAAATGTTTTGCTCCCCTCCTGCTATGAGACTTGCTGGTACAAGGGTAGCGCAGGGGGTGCGGATGGGTCATGCCGAACGCGAACCAGGCACTGCGATGAGCAGTGGGTAACGCCTTCCCATGGGAAGCGCTTGTCTGTCCTGCTGGGGCCAGCAAATGCTCTCTGCACCTGAAATCCTCAGTGTGTGTTTGGGGATACAGGTACACAATACATCCACGCTGAGCATATTGTATCTTATTAGCTATTATTGCAGCACCCCTTGTCAAGCTCGGTTTTCCACCTGGTGGGTTTAACACAGAGAGCAAAGATACAAGAATATTTTTCTGATCCTTAATATGTAATGATTATTTGGGGCATTCTGTGGCCTTTTCTCATTTCCATGCACCACAGCAAGCTCTTAAAAGCAGATTGCCAGAAATACCAATGTGAAACCGTTCCAGTCTTCTGCTCCGAACAGAGGGTGCTGCAGGGCTGCAGGGAGGAAGAAGGACCAGACTGTGGGAGAGAAGTTCATGGCTACCCCAGCCCCAACCTCTGCCTTGGAGATGCTGAGTCGGGGCAGACATGACACCGTATTTCAGCAATTCTGGTTTTGATACCCAAAGTTGTGGTGCTCCGGACAGTTTGAAGTTGAAGCAGGAGATTGGTGGTGGGGTTGCAGCAGAAATGTCCTGGTGCCCTGGACATCCCCTATGGTTCTAGATGGAGTATAATTCATTTTTATCCAAACTCATGGGCCAGTAACACAGCAGCTCACACTGTCGAGGGACTGCGGATAAGCTGTGTGCTGCCCAGGGACCTGCGGTGGTCTGGCCACGTTTTAACAGTGCTTCAGCAAACAAAGTCCAGGATAAACTATGTTAGGGGAGGGCTTGGTACTGCAGGAACATGTGGTTTAGAAACGCTTACACCACGAGTAGCCTGTGTCTTTCTGAATGGCCTTCCAGCTTGTGTGGGGAGAGGTAGAATCCTAGCTACTGTATGGAGTACAGTATGGATCCAGTTACAAAAGGGACTCCATAGCGTGGCTGCCCGTGGCAGCAGGGCACTGCTCACACCCAGGAGGGCCCTTGCAGCCCTGCATGTGCCGGGGGTGTGCTGATCTTGCAGACTCTCTTTTGGAGCCAGCGTTTGCCGTCTTATGCTTGCTCTGCCTGCTGCGGAGCTCCTCGAGGCTTCCTGAAACACTGGGCAAAGCTGCTTGCCCTTCAGCCCTGGAAGAGCTGGGTCTCTGTGGAGCCAGACTGCTGCTTGTGGGTGCTACCTGTTGAGCAGGCAGCATGCGGGCAGGCTGCAGGCAGGCTCTTAGCCCTGCTCTGGCATTTGGGTCTAGGGAAAGCCTTGGATTTTTGCATGGGGAAACACGGGCTTTCCTCTTCCAATAGGTACAGCTAATAAATGACCAAATGTTAAATGTCTCAGGCTGGGAGGGTGGAGATGCAGGATGTGGCTCTGTGGCAAAAGCGCGCTTACTGCTCACCCAGAGAAACGCCATCTGTAACCAGCCAGAACAGCCAGCTGGGCTCGGCTCTTAATGTGCTTCTAATAAGCTTAGAGGGGGAGTTGTGGAAACTGTCCTGCGTATGCTGCGTCCTTTCAATGTTAAATTCTTCAGCAGCCCCAGGGTCATAACTTTCCGGGCACGCTAGGGTCCAGCCTGACAGATCTGGGGTGCTGCCCTGGAATATCTGGGCCTTTTGGCTGGGCTGACTCTGGCTGGATTAGGTATAAGGCGAATGAACCATTTTCTTTGCAATTAGCAAGATTTGTTACTTTACTGCGGTTACAAAAAGAGGAAAAACTTTGACATGATTAATTTAGGATTAGCAAAGGAGCGGGGCAAAGCTCAGTTCAAATTGCAATTAATTACCGAAGCAGGCAGAGGATCGGAGGAGTCTGTCTGCAGTTATTGGGATGTGGGTATCTTCAAACGCCGTGTCCTGCATCATGGAGCCAGCTGAGGAGCTGGGGGCTGCTGTCCCCCGGCACTGTCCCTCGTGTTTTTGACCATGCTGCATCTCGCAGCTTTGCTGGGTCACGCTGTGCTACTCCCACGTTAGCTGCGGGGCAAGGTTAATTCAAGCAGAAGATGGAAAAAGAAGTCTCCATCTTTGGGCTTAGAATCACTGGTGGTCAGCAGAAAGATGGTATTACAGCCCCCGTAATGCCATCCCCTTTTGCCAGTGTGCAATAGTACCAGGCTTCAAACATACGTAACGGAAGGCAAGCTTCAGCCTCTGAGACTGCTCTGCCTATCACAGCTTCAGGCACCTGTACAGTTTGTCTGTAATACTAGATTAAAGCTTATATTTTAAGCTTTATTCTAAAGCTTATTTTATTTTAGCAAACCAAAGGGTTAAATAATTGATTAGCTACTTGGAAACAATTACAAAACAAAGCCTAAAAATAAGAAACACACACTTAATCATTTCTGAAACTAATCTCTTTCCCGAGCTGTCATTTAGGATTTCTCTGAGGCTTCTCTTAGCAGCTTTAGCTAAAGGCCAGCTTGGCAGAGGGCTGCCTCGACGGGTCAGTCAGGGCAGACCCTTCGCGTGTGGCTTTCATACCAGTTTCCCTGTAGCGTTAATGGGAAGCTGGTGTGTGCAAGTCTATCTTCAAAGCCGCTTCTGGACCATGACTTCCCTTTCCTTCCCCAATTAATTGGGAAAATATATTGTTATTAGGAGCTCTGATTACCTGGGGGTGTTTGTGAGGAGGTTAATGAATCACTGTTCCGAGTTGTCCAGGGCTGTGATGTGTAGAAGCATTTTGAAATGCTGATTTCGTATCGCAGAGTGATATCCCAGAGCTGTGTCAAGCTGCTCTCACCGTGACTCCTTTCCTCAGCAACACCACATACGTTCTGAACCTTTTCAAGGCTTTGTGATAACGCGCAACTCGAAGTGTTGTGTAGATGATGTTTTTTTTTTTAGTAGTCTCGCAGTACAATATGGACTGTTAAGCTTTCCACATGGTGTGTGTGTAGCACAGGGTACTGGGCTGGCAGCTGAGCGGGTTTTTCCTTCTGCCAGTGTTGTGGGTTTGGGCCATCCCTGGTGGAAATGGGAAAGGTAAGAGGAAAGCTGCGGCGTACGCTGGGGCTTTGGGCAGGGCCGGATTGCTTTGGCTTAGCCGTGTGTAAGAGCAAAGTGAGCTGATTCTGTTAATGTTGCGCACGTGGTTTCAGACTTCGAGTGCAATCAGCATGAACAAGGGGGCAGGAAAAAGTATTTGGATGCCTTGGGGATGGGGGAAGAGCAGCTCCAGCCTTCCTTAACAAGGCCTGGAGGGCTGTGATCAAATTAATCGTGAGAGGGTGAAGTCTGGAAAGCTCTAGCTTAAAAAAGAAAAAACCAAAAAACCACCACATGAGCAGGCTGCCACAAAAAGCCGAGCCTGGTGAGCCGTGCAATAAGACTGGGTGCATAGCGTGGCAAGGGTGGGTACACCTTTATGGGGACCTTTGTAAATGCCCCAGCTCAGCGCCCGCTGGGATGCACCCCTCTGCTTCATTCACAATGTCGGTCAGTACATGTGCCGCTGTAGAAAAACTCCCGTGGGATCCTCCTGGTGCGAGATTTTGCCTCTGGGGCATTCACAGCAGCCTAATTACTGAGCTGGGCAGGAGGGCTGCAGGTGCCTCCCTCCCCGTTTACCCCCCCAGTCTTTGCTTATCCAAACCCCATGGCTTTAGACATGGAGTGGGTCCTGCCTGGTTTAGCTTGTTTCTCTGCCCCTCTCTTTACGGGACTTGAACTGCTGAGGCAGAGGGCGGGGAAAATGGTTTAGTTTTTTTCTTTAATTGAACTCCGGTTGTCTAAGCAGGCATATCAATATCGCTTGAAACTTGCCCTGCCTTCCCCTTGAGGTCTTGCACTCTGTCCTGCGTCACTGCTCTGCATCTTCACGGGCTTCGTGCTATTTTTGCTCGCTTCCTCCTGAGACTCTTCAATCTGATAATCTCCTAATCTCCAGCTCCTAGTAATTCATCTGCGGTTGTCTTTGCTTTATACCTGGCTTATGTCTTGGGAGTTGTCTTCAAAATAGCTTCTGACCTTGTTGGTTAATGCATGTTAAGAAATAGGCCTGCATAGGTACAGGAGCCTTCTCATTCCCCAAATTCTTGTTATTGCCTGTGTTGGGGAGAGACGTCCCTATTACAAGTCACTGCAGTTGCATCAGTTTCTTGTACAGCATCCTCCTGATTTACACCCGTTTTTATGACCAGATTTTGAGTTCTTTCTTACCCCAGGTACACTGTGCTTTCCTTTGTGGGCTATTAAAGCCTTAAAATAGGAGCTGCCTGATCTGAGCTTAGACGCTCTGAGGAGCACCGCAGAAATATCTGTAATGTCTGTGAGAGGGGGCATGTGCTTTCTCCTGGTTGCAGAGAAGGAGAAGGAATCTTAAAAGGAGCACAACAAGGAGTGCTAACCCTATTGCCCAGGAATTTATCCTCTTGATAAAATGTGCCTGGTGGGGTGGTTGCAAAGGAAATCTGAAAATATAGGATCAACTTTTAGCTTTCTCTGATGAGGATCAAACACCTAATCTCATCCATTGGATAACTGAAATAACAGGGAGAGGGCAGGAGGAGAAAGTGCCTTCATTAGCTTTCTTCTTGTATTATCTAGCGTTGTATTATCCCTCACCTTTCGTGCTCCTTTCTAACACCAGCTTGCTAAAATACATGGCTGGAAATACGCACCGGGGTTCACGGTGTACCATTGTTCACAAGAGAATAGGCAGTGCCTGTGGTCATTGTCTAGGCTGTTTTGTCGCTTTCTTTTGCAATCTTGGTTGTTTTGGGGAGTGGAGGAAGGTTTCCTGGATGAGAACTGGCTCTACTCTGGACTGGACAGCGGAGGTACCTCAAAACTGTAAACAGGGAATAAGCATCCACCGTTTCTGATAAGAAAGTAGAGATCCCTTAACGAACGTCTTGCTACAGATTGCTGTTTGGGGTTTTTTTGGAATCACTTTTTCACATGAAGGGAATAGAATTGATGAAGGAATCCATTGTGTCTGGCTTAGGAAGTCCATCACCTCTGCTGCTTCCTGAGACCACCACAGTGTTGCTAGTTGTGCTTCCAAACTCTTCAAAAAAAATGGTAGGTCTTAAGATAGAAAATGTCTCTAATAGGGGGGAGTTGCAGATCTTTGGGCATGATACAGAGATTATAGGAAAGAAGTTGCTTTTAATAGTGATGCGTGAGTGAGAAGTAGCTGCTAGTACCAGGCTTGGGCAAGTTGCAAGGGTTTGCTCTTTGCTTTGAGAACAAATTCAACTCAGTTGGTGAACTCTTTGCGGAAGAGTTTGGGTATGGAGGTCTGGGATGTGGCAATTCACTGGGCTTTAGGAAGGAGTAGGAAATGCTCCGCTTTTGTGACCTGTTTTTGCACTACTTCAGGACAAAAGCCACTTGCGTTGGGTTTCCTGAGACGGTGCTGATGTGTCCATCCCTTCATCCCTTGTTCAGAGTGTGCTCTCTGTCAGCCCTGAGTCAGGTGAGAGCTGAAGGCTTGTTCAGGGAGATACTGTCATTATTTGGTTATTGACCGGAAACAACGCAACCTGCTTCAGGGGAAGTGGAAGAAAGAAGAAAAACATTCTGTCCTGAGAGACCAAAACTCCCTTCCTTGTAATGATCCACTTCACTGGGTGAGGTTTGAGCTGCCTTATGTCTAACTAAAATAGACATGGATGCTGCCTCCATTCCCCAAATTGTGGTGACGGTGAATTAGGATAATGAAAGCAGATGATACATTTAAGTGCGTCACGGAAGTGTGGGCAATTGGGCCCTACAGAAATTTAAAAATAAGTATGTATGGGATGAGATTAGCAAATTTGACAGTGCTCAGCTAAGCAGAAGTATCTGCCAATTGCAAGCAGCCCATTCCCAATAAGACCTTCCAGTGTAGCTGCGGGCTTCTGTTATGTATGGAGAAAAAACCAGCAAGTGGCTACTTTGATTTTTAAACAGGAATTGCAGCAAGCAAATTTAATACAGACTGAGAGGAATATATATACCTCTTTTTTTTCTGGTAGAAGACTGGGCACTGCCAGAGGAGGAAAAAACACTTGATTGCAGTACTCTGGCAGCTAATCTTCCCAGATGTCATCCAGTTAGATACTGGGATGTTGACTTTAAAAAAAAAAAAAAAAAAAAAGTTTTAAAACATTTTCAGTGCAAAAAGAGTTGGAAAATATAGTGCCAGGTTGCAAACATCAATGAGCAGGAGCCTGATGGGGATTCTGCCCGGGGTTTACTCCTCTTCGGTGGCTCTGCTTTGCTCTCCTCTCCTCCAGATGAGTCATGGACACTGTTACTGCAGCAACGCTGCTGCCAAGGAGGGGGATAAAGCTGTTGCCATGGTGCTGGATGGGCAGGAATTCTGCAGGAGGAAAAACACTTAATAATTAACTTGCAGACAAACGCGGCTTCAGACTTTGCCTGCGTGCTCTAGGGAAGGTGTCCCGGGCTCCCAGGCGACCGACCGCCTGTTCTGGTACAGCTCCTTGCCTTCGTGGAGAGCAGCTGGTCCGAGCGCGGCCGTGGGCCAAGGGAGGCAAAGCCGGGATTGTGGGAAGCTGCTTCTGTCAATTTGTGTTTTGCATGTGGCCGCTTGGAGCGGGGAAGTTGTGGGACGGGTTAAGAATTTGGGCTGGCCGATGTGTTAGAGCCTAAAATCATCGTGTAATTGCAGAACACCTACCTGAGGATTGCTAAATGTTGGGGCTTAAGGCAAGGGGTTAATTTAAATTTCTGTCCCATCTCCTTGGCTACTGTTAAAGACAGAAGAGAAGATTTTGTGCAGTTCTTGGGCTATTTCGTCTAACAGTAGGCTTGCATTTTCCTTCCCTGCCAAATGCCAGAGATGCTTTGAACACAGTCCTCTCTCTTAAAGCCCATTCCTTTGAGCATTCACCATATGGTGGTGATGATGGAGAGCAGTAAAACTGTCCAGAGAGTACGTTTAACACCTCTGTTCCTTGTACCAGTGAGCACTCGGATAGTTCTCCAGGTTAAGAAGATTTGCAAAGAATAAAAGGCTTCTAGGAAAGTACAGGTGCTGGATGTGCAGTTCCTGCTCAGCAGTGCCTAGGAGCAATCTTCCATAGTGCTGACTACAGCTAGCTTGTGTCTCACTACAGAGGGGCCTGATTTCTGTAATTACAGATCCCAGCATGAGAGCCTTGCTGTCTAGTAGTTGCAATGCGTGGCATTTGGGATATTCTCTAACTATACCACAGCCATCTTTTATTAACTCCTTATCTATGGGATGTGCTAACTACTGGCCATGAACCGTAACCCCCAACCTAATGTAGGTACCTGATTTGTTATACCGGCGCTGAAGTAGGGGTTGTAATGGGCAGGTGTGATCTCCGAGTACACTGTAACTTGTTTTCATACATTCAATGAATAAGCCTTAGGTGGATGGCTGCATTTGAATTTTAAAAATAGGAAAGCAGACAGAAATAAGTGATTTTTAGTAGCTGAGAAAGGGCTTAGAATTAGAATGTTGAAGTATTACTTTAGAACCTCCAAAACAAGTCCCCTACAACATGCAGATGCACGGTTGTTCAAAAGCTAACCTGGCTTGTATACATACAACATTTGTTTAGATTTGTCAGGATAAAGTAAGTTATTGGAGCTGCTTTCAATCTGTGCTTACATGTGCAGTGAAAAGGAAGCACCACTGCTCTTTCCAGAGAGAGGAGGCTGATACCCAGGCCAGGAAGCTGTCTGAAGGCACAGCGAGGCTGAAGCCAGAAACAATTACTTTCTCCCAAAGATACCAACTCTGGTGGAAGCAGGGAAGGACTATGTTCCCAGACTGTTTTCCTAATACAGGGAAAGGCTTCAACACCATTTTCAGTGCTGAGGAAAAAAAGTCCTTGCATGGGACAAGCATTGGTGAAGAAAAGACGCCATCCTTTGTCTGCAGAGGGCTGGAGAGAGGGGAGGTGGCACCAGAGAGGACACTCCTGTTCCAGTTAAGTGCAGTCGGCTTAGTGCTCACAAAGCTGCTTAGCACTTGCATTCTGCCAGAGGGCAGTTTTTAAAACAGGCAAAGCCTCTTACACGGGAAAGGCTAGGATTTGATGGAGGTGCTGACTATTCTCAATACCCTGAGGGGAAATGGATGCAGAAGATGCTGGGGCAGGGTTGGAAAAAGGTGGTGACCTCCAAGTGCTGGGGGAGAGAAGACTTCTCCCTGTCTGAGCAGAGCAGTATGAGCATTCAGGACCAGGACTGTCTTCATAGACCTCAGTTTTGGACTAAAAACAGGATAGTAGTGGAGATGCATTTGGGCTGCTCTCACTGCTGGTTGTGACCTCCAAAGAGTAATACCTGGTAATTCTGGGCAGCCTTCATTAAGTTTGCTTTCCTCTGCAGATTATTTGTGCACTCCAGAGGAAAATGTTTACAAGATAGACTTCACCAGGTTCAAAATCCGGGACATGGAATCTGGCACAGTCTTGTTTGAAATCACCAAACCAGCAGCTTCAGGTGAGCGCACACACAAAATACTGTTTTCACGAACAAACAAATGCTGGTGTCTGCTTCCTTTTGCCGTTTCCCACTCCTTTTAGTCAACACATTTCCCAAAACTAGGAGATGCTCTCAGCTGCAAGAGAGCTGGAGTCCCAGCTTGCAGCAGAAATACTATTCAGGTGTCCCTTTGTACCAACACAGTGAACAGAACTTGTTGCTGCTGTATTCTTATGATTGCCATCTGTGATGAGAAAGGACAGATGGATGTTGTAAACAGAAGCAGAGGAGGAGGAGGAGGTCACCGTGTGTTCGTTTCTTGGCTGTTCGTCAGCTAGAGCCCCCCTGTACATGACTTAACTGTTAGTCTAACATCTTTCACTCAGGAGTCAGGAAAATGCTATTTCCAAAAGCGAGAAACTTTGTCAATTGTGCACATTAGACAAACTGAAAATTTGCATTTTTTTTCTTCATAATTTTTAGGTGTTACTTGTAACCATCAGAGTGTTACCTGTTGCCAGTGGTAATAAAAAACCAGGGCAACCATTCTTTTCAGGATCAAGCACTCTTTTAAAAAATCTTCCCCATGTCCCTGCAGGTGAGAGGAAGTTTTCTGTAGCTTATAGATAGCAAACCAGATGTGCTAAGGTGAAATGGCTTGTTCAGAGTCACACTGCAATCCTGAACCAGAGGTAAGAGCAGTAAGTCACTTCAGAAGATAAGAAGGGTATCAAACCAAAGGGCCATCTTGCAATGCTTTGTCCGAGTGACCAGTAGTGGATGCTGTAGAGAGGATAGGGGGAGGGTAAGCACATCGTCAGGCTTTCTCAGAATAGTTTCCTGGCTTGTATGACTCAATAATGTATGATTGCAAGTATTTTTCACTGGGTTTCTGTTTCTCAGACGACTGTGACGGAGCTTTACTTTGCGCTTTTCCAGAACGTGAACACAATGACAAGAAGGACATTGACCCCAATGCTGGACGGTTTGTACGCTATCAGTTTACCCCAGCTTTTCTTAGACTTCGGCAAGTGGGAGCCACGTAAGTAATTGCTCCTGTGCTAATTTTTCTAGTAGAGGAGACAACTCAAATCTTATACAAAGTGGCTCTTGCTTGTTGATCCTGTCAAGAAGTTGATTTAATAGGGATCTTCTGTTATTATGAGGATCTCCAAACACCTTGCTTTCTCCATCCCTTTAGCTTGTTTATTTACCTCAGGAATAGGCATGGCATTGAGAAGATTAATGCTAAAAGGAGCAAAATAAGGTGGACAGACTGCCCAGATATTCCAATTCTTTTCTGTGTATTATAAAGTTTGTATGTCAGAGGCTCTACCGGTTTTGGAGGGTGTGTCTGCAGCCTTCCACGCCGCATTCCCCAAAAAACATTAATCCATAGGTGCACATGAAATGGTGAAGAAATGTTTGATGCTTTATGTACCAGAATGATTTTTAATGTGTCTGGTAATACTGCTTGCATCCATCAATAAACCACACCAAAATGTGACACCTAAAGTATCTTTCTGTAAAGCTTTAGGCCAAAGTTATTGCTACTGTAATACAGGTGACAGAGTGTATTGTTTCTTTAGTAAAAGTTAGTAGCGATTACTACTAACTACACTGTTAATACTAACTTACTACTAACTACAGATTTATCTGCAGTTGAATAGCATGCATGGGGATGCAATTTTTGGCTTGTATTTCCTCTTCTGGCCCTCCAAAGAGCAGGCTGGTGGGCTTCTTTGTCCTTAGTGGAGATTTTAGAAGAATATTGCGTCATAGCGTGGCAGGTTCTTTGTTATCTTTGTTTTTCCTTACATTCACTTAAGTTTAAATAAGTAGATCTAATCAAGAGCTTTATGCCCATTGCTATTATATCATTAAGTCCATAATACTATAATCGAGCATCAGTTACAGTTTCCAGCACAAACCTATTTGTTTCAGGTATATAGAAATCATTAGTTTGGATTCATGTTGAGTGCAGTTTGATAGATCCCTTCAGCAGCAAATGTGTATTTCACAAGAACTGATGTAGCCTTGCTTAAAAAAAAAAGTATTTTCAAGAGCTTGATTAAAATTCAGCATTTGGTTATGATGCAAAAGAATTAAAACTTGTCAGAGAATATATTTAGAGCAAGGTTGCACGTTACCACTTCCTGCTAATCTTAAAGATGTGCACCATTTAGATTTTGTTTTGGAAGAAAAATTAAAGTTATGTATCAATTAGCACCTCCTGGCCACTATTTGGTTAAAATGGTAATTACCTAACTTTTGATTTGTGCCAAACTAGTAACAGTGTCTTCCTGGCTTGCTCATAGCGTATCATATGTAACTAATACCTATCTTTCTCCAAGAGGTCACGCTTCTTGGTAAGAGAAACTTGAATATAGTGCTGGCTGAAACTTGTCCCCCTTTAGCACTTACAAAGCAGGAACAGAAGAAAGGCTGTTTTCTGTAGATCTGGCTTTTTTTTAGTGCCCACCAGAAGAATTAAAATAACTTGTATAAAAATCCAATGCAATAAGGAACGTCTAGTGAGTGATTGAGTGATCTAGTGAAGACCCTATCCAGTATAGTTGGAGGGATCTTTTCTTCACTGAAGATGAGTTTAAGATAGTAAAATTGTCTTGCATGTCCTTCTTTTTTTTGAAATCAAAATATAGTATGATCTATGAATTGTAATGCTATGTTATGTCCCTGTAGCATGCTTTAAGAAAAAGAGGAAACGATAATTTGGTTAGTACCATTGCTTTAGATTTTTGGCTTTTTTTAGAAGAGCTCTCTTCTACCTTTCAGGAATGGTTGAAAATCTTACTTAAGGAAGAAAGCTCATTTCAATCTTATCCTTCTTTTTCAGGGTGGAATTCACAGTAGGGGACAAACCCATTAATAACTTCCGCATGATTGAGAGGCACTACTTCCGGGATCAATTGCTTAAGAGTTTTGATTTTGAATTTGGGTTCTGCATCCCCAGCAGTAAAAATACTTGTGAGCACATCTATGAATTCCCACAGCTCTCTGAGGATCTCAGTAAGCGCTCTTTAATTGCTGGGTTACCACACAGTGATGTTAATCTAAGGTGTTTTGAAGAAGCCCTTTCTTAAGAGCTGTCTGTAGAAAGTGGGTAGGGTAGAATACTTCCAGGGAGTTTTGTATCTGTGTTAATACAGGTTTTGTTTTCTAGTAGCATGTATCTTGTCATCCACCAGCCATTTGCTTTTTTTTTTTTTTTTTTAAAAATTCATAAAAGGGAAGCTTCAGTGTCAGGGAGAAAAAAGATAATTGTGTTATAAACCAACCAAAAAACTAGGATTAAAAAGACATCCAATAAATGGGTGACTTAAATGTTATGTTCTGTTTGATGTTCTGTATTGATACTTGAGAGGTTTTAGTTTTAGTATGAACATAACTTTTATGTTCTCTCCTCTCTCCCAAGACACAATAGCATCGGTACTAAATCTGTGTGACCTTCTATTCTTTACAACCCCTAATCATGTATGGTAGCACTAAAGTCTGTGGAAAATACAGTGATGCACTGCTGCTTATTTATTGTCACACCAGAACAATTTTCTTGGTTTATCACTTTTTTTAAAACAAAACAAAATGCCCCAAACTTTAGTGTGATATTGTTTTGAGGTTAGGTAGAACACTTACACTTTGTATGGTGCCTTAACATATTCGGATTATGTTTGAGGTCTTTAAAAGATACTGTCAACGAAAGGTTTGGGTAGGTTCCTGTTTTGGTTTCAGTTTTGGTTTTTCACGTGAGAGTTTGCTGCTATCTGAGCAATACTGTTAAACGTAACTGAAACCCAGTGCAGAGCGTTGCCTCAGTAGGCCTTCTGTGTAACACGATTAATTTTTTTTTTTATTTTTTCCCCCTGCAGTTCGAGAGATGATCCTTCATCCATATGAGACACAGTCGGACAGTTTCTACTTTGTAGACAACAAGCTCGTGATGCACAACAAGGCAGATTATTCATACAGTGGAGGACCTTGAGCACAGGATGGACAGCCGACCTGCGCTGGCCTTCCCTTTCCTATCGAAGTCGTCAGGGATACCAACACCTTCAGTTCAGTTGCCCACAGTGTCAGCTGGACAAGGATCCACAAACCAAGGACTCTTTGCCACAGTAGGAGTTTCATGACTAAATTTGTCAGTCTCATCTTTTTTGAGCTTTGAAGCAGACCCAATTCTTCAGAACTTAAAGCAGTTCTACAATGCTAAATGATCTTTGGATACCACTTCCCTAAGTTCTTTAAGTGCTTTGAAAATGGCCTTGTGGGACCTGGGGGATTTTGCCCTAATTCTGCGGATTTGCGTTCTGGCCCTCAAGTATCTTTTAGGACGTGATTGCTTTCTCAAAGAATGTAATCTGAGAAACCATGTGAGTGGATGGATGCAAACACAGAGTTTTGTTTATTTGTTTCTCTTTGTGAATGCTTCAAAGGCATGGCCAATTTAACTTGTACATCCAGTTGAAATGTCAAGCATAACATCTTACAAAAGCAAGTTTCATCTTTAGATTAGTTCTCTAAATAAGTATCTCATCCTTTAGTTTTGTTTCTTCTATGTAATATTCTGTTTAATCTTAGAAACACTGAAACTCGCGATGAAGACCAGTAGTTCAATAACAGAGCTGTTTTTAATCGGGTACTGTCCTTTTACATTTCAGATGAAGGCAAAATAGCTTTGAGAGTCCATGAACCTCCATAAGCATTTTCCATTAATTTCAGTTTTTGCAAACTGGTTGCAGAATAATCAGGAAAAATTGAAGGATTTTAGCTTTATTTAACATTTTTACATAGCTAACATTCAGCCTATTCATGCTGTACGTTTTCCATGTCTATTTTCTTTCATCTCTGCTCAATACTAAGATAAGGGCTTCAGCACTGCTTGTTAGAGCAACGCTTTCATTTGTCTAGTGCAGTTGGAGAGTGTGGAATTTCCAGTTTTCCATTTGTATTTTGCTTTGCAGAATGTTATGACAGTGTTATCCGTTTGTTAAAAATGTTTTGCATTGGATATTAATACAGGTGAAACATAAGCCTAATAATGTAGGCCTTTAAGGCAAAGCAAAAATTTAGCAAAAGCTCTCTCTTCAGACTCTGTAAGAAGTTTAAGACCAATTTTGCCCAAGTTTCTCAGCATGTGCTTCTTAGAAAGGCAGAAGTGCAAAGAAGTAGCAACATCAAGAGAGTAAACTAGTGTATGCAAATCAAAACCTGAGAAGGCTGTGTGGGGTAGCCTGTTGTCATGAAACCCTTACTCTAAAGGTCAGTTAACTGATACTTTAAAAAAATAAAAGGCAGTTGCAGTTTGTAGATATTTCTATAAATACTTGATGTCTCCATGTCTAATTCTGTGAGTTTAAGTGGAACGTTATATGTTAGCCTCAGATAGGTGTGATTGTAGTAATTTTTATAAAACACCATTTCCAGTCGTGATTAACATCTTTCTAGTCACAGCCTACATCAAACAGAACTTCAAAGGGTTCCAAATGTAGCCATCCGCCTAAGAACAGGGAGGTTTTTGTGATCTTGTTGAGGTTATGATCACTATTAAATGTGTTACCATTTGTATTTGGCTTTGCTTTCTTTACTTCTGAAAGAGGATTCAGTTTTCTAAAGAAAATGAATTGAGTTTAGGTTACAGCACGGAATTTTTTATTAAGATTGATAGCTAAGAAAGTACGTAAAGTTCACAGATTTCACAGAGCTAGTATCTTGTAGTAATTATTATCACAATGAGACTTGTATTTATCACTATTTGTTGTCTCTAGTGTATTAAATCGTACAATTAGGCTATGACTGACTTACCTGTTTGAGACTTACAAAGAATTTCCTCATTATTTGTACAATGCTTTGAGCTACTGATCATTAAGCTACTGATCATTTATAGCACAATAATTACTAAAGGTGAAAATAGTTTCAAAAAGTCTAGGTCCCTCCCCCCTTTTTTTTTTTTTGCATCAGGGCTATTAATCAGGGCTATATATTAAATGACATTTTACAAGTTTAAGTATTTATGAATTTTGTTCCAACTCTTGAAGGAGAAAATATACCAATTTGAAGACAGAAGAGAGTGTGTAACTAGCACCCTATACAAGCTTTTTGGGGGTATCTTTCAACTCTCACCTGCTGTTCATTATAATCACTTCTGTGCATTAAGATTTGTAAAAGACTTCTAGCAATGGTGCTTGCCCAGAATTGCTAGTCATACATTTCAAACAGATGTATGTTTCAAACAGAAATATACATCTCGGTATATTTTGGTGAGAGCAGTTGTACTTTGGTACAGCCTTTTGTCAGTCTTGGGTTATGGTACTGAGTATCCTCTCTGTATTGCATATCCTTGTCTGCTGATCTGAAATAGTTATGTTCTGCTCCTTTTTATGCTACCTTCTTTTAAGACTTTGGACTTCAAACACCAAAGTCATTCCATAAAAATATTACTGTAATCAACAAAAACTTGTTTAAAAAAGAACCTAGAGAAAGTTACCTTGTTCCCAATAGTGCAGTATGTTGTTGAATGGACTTTCTGACACTCTGCATTTTATGGTAGGTTAAACGTAAGAGGATGAACTATCCACTGCTGATCTCCTGAATTCTGCTAACTGTTCTGATAATTCAGATTCTATGGGTAATAATAATTTCAGGCTAACAGAAAATTTAGTGTGAATCATATAGGAGATATTTTATTGAGTGAATTTGTTGTCTTCTATTATTAGGAACACTTTAAAACAGAAACATACTTGTTTCATATTTGGACATTTTCAGTAAAATAAATTGTAACCTTATTTTAGCTTTAGCTTTTCAGTTGGAGGAATTTTACTTTTTTTAAAAGTCCCCACAGTTTGCTACAAATACCAAGTTCTGATTCTCAAACCAAGGCAAATAACAAAACTTTCTGAGGGAAGTGTAATGAAGGTGCTTTTTTCTGTATTCCAGTGCAACAGCTATCAATCACTGTTATCTCTCTGTTTCACTTGAGAACACTTTGTTAGCATTTCTTTAAGGTCCTCTACATCCACAATATTTACAAACGTGTGGGAATCACTGTCCAAGGGAGAGGGTTCATTCCTTTTCTACCTGTTTATGCAGAAGTATAATGTGCAGTGTTGACATGAGACATTATATTGTTGCACATAAACAGCACGAGAAGAGTGTTTCTTCAAAAACTTTTGCAGTACAGTTGCTGTTCTAATGCCACTTCTGTCCTTGTTTTGCATTAAAACTATGTGCAAAATTTCATGTTAAAGACCACGCTTTGTACAGCACTGAACAACTTCAACTTTCATCTGAAAGGGAGCCAAGAGCTCTCAGGTCAGTTGTAAAATGAAACCCACATTTTTTTCCCTTAAATTAGCAGTTGATTCTTATTATAAACCAGTTGAAAATCAAATCTGAACAGCATTGTTCACAGAAGAATTTGTTAGTCTCCTTGACTAGCTATTATTTTATATTTTAATATTAATCATTATGGGGTTTACTTTGGAAGGTCATCTACAAAATCACTAAATATTGGCTCTGGAAAAATAATTCTTGTATTTTTTCTTTGGTCTCATTTTAAAAATTATTTTAATTAGCACTACAGCTCTGTTTTAATGAGCTAGTGTGGAAATTCAGTATCTGACTTTCTGAAAGTGAAAGAAAACATCTAAGGGCTAACCAAGATTATCTGCTAATACTGACTAGCTGTTTCCCGTCATAAGACAGGATTATGTGTGTGCTTTAGAGAGTGAATTAGTCTTGGAAAAAGAAACTAAGTCTCTGTGAGTGCTAATAGTGACATAATTTTTCTGAGAGAAAGAAATTGTAACTCAACATATTTTTTCACTTTCTCAGTCTTGGATTCCTTTAAACTTCATGTTTATTTAAAGAAAAGCAACAGTAATACATTTGTGGTTAACTGCCATGCTGCATGGTCTAATAATTCACAGACTTCAGTGGCAGAAAGAGAACAATTTATTTTTAAAATTAACACATCAAGTATAAGTATGGTTTAAATTCTTGAAACTTTGTTCTCAGATCAATGACTTTGTTCTCAATCAAAGCCAAAATTGTTTCTGTGAACGTTTCCTTTATGTGGAGACATTTATGAAATAACTGAATAATCCACTGTCCCTGACTCAGAAGAATTTTTTTTTTTTTTTTTTCAATGTAGAAAGTCTCTTCAGGTTTGAAAGCAACGTGTTGGGGTTTAGTTCTTGCTCATAATCTCTCTCTACGTCTTGTTTTTGAGCAGGTCAGTAAGATAGCTCTATTTGCCACCTCTGTCCTCTATTTGAGTTTCATTTCAAAAACTTGTGTAGGGCGTCAAAGCGGTGGCTGTCTGTGTGTGAAACATTGCAGGCTACCAAGTTCCAAATTCCTTCATTTTGAGCAAGCAGACTATGCAAGTATATTGAGAAATAGTGCTACATGTTGACCCATAAAAACTGAATTCCAATCTTCATGACAAAAAGTAAAGGGAACTCTTATTCATGCAAAGATTACTTGAGGTCTATTTAAGGTAAGAAAATGCTAATATCCAACTCTCATACTTAATAAGTATTATAACAATGTTCTATTAATTATTCATAGCCTGAAAAAATATGGTTAACAGCTCAATTTTAATTAGATCTGGTTAGGAATGAAACTATAGAGATTATTGCTATCCCTTACGGGGGCCGGGGAGAGCAACTAGAACTGTATGTATTGCACAAAAGCTAGACAGGTTTACATGCATTGACTCTCTCTAGTGGTAAAAGTTATTTCTGGGAAAAAATGAGGGAGAGAACAGGAAAAAGACAAGAAAAAGGACAGGAAAAGAGTTAATTTCAGCTAATTGGAACTAAGAGCTTTAAGGCCGTGGTAAGTGTAAATGCTTTTTCTCTTGAGTTTGAGATAGCTGGTAGCTTCTGTTAGCAGTTCTTTTCTGTACCCCCAGCATAAGCACTACCTAAGTTTATACAAATGCTTTAATATTAATCAGATATTAAATCTCATTGACAGTCC